CAGGTGACCTGTGACAGCCATGGCAGGGGGCACAGCTGTGCTGGGGGGAAGGTGGAGCTGTCATGGGGGAGCACAACCCCGGGGAGACCCCTGAGAGCTGAGCTGGACCCCCACCTGCATCCCACAGGTACCTGGGGGCAGGTGGAGCTGTCAGAACAGGGGGGAGATCCCGACGGGACCCCTGAGAGCCTCGAGTGACCCTCAGCTCAGTTGTGACCCCCATGCACAGCCCCCMGGCACCTGGGGGGGAGGCAGAGCTGCCAGAGGGGACAAAGAGGGCTGAGGGACACCTGAGATCCCGTGGGGGTCCAGCCCAGTTGTGACACCCCACACACAGTCCCTGTCACCCCCCTATCCATCTCTACAACCCCCCACATAAAACCCCTTCCCCAACCAAATGCCTCGTTCCCCCCAAAAATGAGCAATTCTGGGGTAAAACCCCCAAATTCCAATGTTTCAACCCAAACCACCCCAGTGGAGCCCTTTGCCCAGAGCGTGGGGAGCACACGGGGGGACAGGGATGGGTGGGGGGTCCCGAGAATGCGGCGGGGGAGGGCCCAGCACCCCCAAGTCCTGGGTTCACCCCTTGTGCTTCGAGGGCCTTGTGTGACCCCCCCCACGCCGAGCTCACCCCCCTCCATGGGGCCGTGGGGGACCATGAGGAGGATGTGGGGGCTACCCCGGACCCCCCGGCTGTTCCCCACCGGGGCGGGGGTCCCCACCCCTGCACCCGCTGCACCCCGAGGGGGGGATGCTGATGGAACGGGGGTGCAGCCGCGGCTCCCCCCTCCCCCTCTCACTGCCCGCTCCCCTCGGCCAGCGCCCCGGAGCGATGTCACCGCTTGGGGACCCCGCTCCCACCCGCCGGCTGGGGGTCTCGCCCACCTCCCCAGCATCCCCCCACCTTCCCAGGCCGTGGCCCCGGCGGGGCTGCTCGGCCGCGGCACCTACCCCGGGGGTCTGCATGGAGCCGGCCTGTGGGCGTGGGTCCCCGCTCCGGCCGGGGGAGGGGTCGCGGCTGGGGGGTGTCCCCGGGGTGGCGGGGGATGCTCGGGGCCGGAGCCACTGCGGCGAGGGCTGCTCCGCACCGCCCGGCTGCTGGGTCCTAGCGCCGCCCGCCTCGCCACGGTACCCCGGGAACGGCCCCCGCGCCCCCCCGGAGCTGCGGGACCCCCGCCTGAAGCCTGGCTTTGCTCCCCCGCCCCAGTGGAGGACGGAGGTGGGGACACCTCGGGGTGCTGCCCCGCGTATTGCTTCGTGCCTCAGTTTCCCCATTTGGCTCCCAAAAGCGATGGGGAGGGGCCGGGGCCGGCGCTGGGGGAGCGAAGCCCCTCGGGGAAGGGAAGGGGGGAGTTCGGCGGGCGTAACGCGGAGGGGGTCTCAGGTGGGGAGGGGTGGGAAGGGGGGGATGGGGCACAGATTCGCGCGGGGGGGCACAGAGTGGGGATGGGGGTGCCGAGGGTGCCGGGGCCGGCGCTCAGAGGGGTCTCAGAGCCCCCCCGGGTCTGTCCACCCGCACCCCGGCGCCCCTTGCCTTGCTCCCAGTTCAGAAATGGAGCAAAGGGGATGGGGTCAGTGTGATGCCCCCACCCGGCCACGCCCCGTGCCTCAGTTTCCTCAGGTTACAGCCGTTCCCTTCCCGAAAGGGGTGCCCATGTTTTCCACCCCTCCCAAATCCTGCTCGGGCTTTCCTGCCAGCTTTCCCCCTGCATCCCCGAGGGTGCCCGGGTGGGATGCGCGGCCACCAGATCCCATTCCCGGGCTAGGGGGTGACAAGTGGTCCGTGGGTGACGTGTGTCCCTGCGCGCCACGTGGCCATTGCCAGGCTACGGGCTCCCAAAAATAAATCCACCCAAACCAGATTAGAARCGCGGGACCTCGCATGAACCGGCGGCGGCATTCCGGGGCCCGCGGGCGGCTCCCGGTGGGACCCCGGACACCGGGAATGCCGGCAAGAGGGGGATCCCGGTGAGGGGAATAGGGCGGATCCGCGGGGATCCATCCTGCCCGGGGGCGGCCCCTGTGCCAGGAGAAGGACAGGGAGGGATCCTGGTCCTCAGAGTGGGGAACACACGGAATCCCCCTTTTCCTGGGAGCTCGTGTGGGCAGCAAATGCCTGAGGACACCCCTTCACGGTGGACACCCCGCTGTGGTACCCACATCCTGACACTGCGGGCACCCCAGCACCCCAGTCCCCAAGCACCCCCTATCCCAGCACCTTGAGACCCCAGTACAACATCCTGGCTTCCCAGTGCACCCCCTACCCTGGTACCCCAGCATCCTGACAGTACCTGAACACCACAGCACCCTGGCACCCCAGTATTTCAGCACACTGGCACCCCAGTACCTCAGCACCCTGGCACCCCAATGACCCAACATCCCAGTGCCCCAGGGCAGTGGCACCCTAGGGCAGTGGCACCCCAGTACCCCATTTTCCTATCACCCCAACACCCCAGTGCCCTGGCACTCCAAAATATCAGCATCCTGGCAACCTAAGGCTACTGACACCCCAACGCCACTGCCCCAGTCCCCAAGCACCCCACTACTGACACCCCAATATCCTACTATCCCAGTGTGCCAGTCCCCAAGCACCCCACTATCCCAGCACCCTGGCGCCCCAGTAGCCCAACACCCCAGTGCCTCAGGACAGTGTCACCCCAGTGCCTCAGAACAGTGTCACCCCAGTGTCCTGGCACCCCAGTAGCCCAGTACTCTGAGTACCCAGTACTTGAACATTCTGGCACCCCAGCACCCCGATACCCCAGGCTAACCATCCCCCCCATCCCCCTGCACCCCAGTACCCCAATACACTGGGATACTCATCCCCCAGCACCCCTGTACCCCAGAACTCCAATATCTCAGCAGCCAAATACTTCAGTATCCTGGCACCCCCATACCCAATATCTTGAAACCGCAGCACCAAAACACCTCAGTACCCCAATACCCTGTGGTACCAGTGTCCCAGTACCCCAGTACCCCTGGCACCCCAGTACCCCTGGCACCCCAGTACTCCTGGCAACCTGTCCTTGGCAACCCAGTACCTCTGGCACCCCAGTACCCACCGCCTGGCACCCCAGTACCCCTGTCCTTGGCACCCCAGTACCACAGCCTCTGGCACCCCAGTACCCCTGGCACCCTGGTACCCCTGCCCCTGGCACCCCAGTGCCCCAGTCCCTGGCACATCTGCAGGGCCCTTGCCAGACATGCATGTTAAGCACGTTCACACCTGTGTGTGTGTATGTTTGCACACCTGGTTACATGCTTGTGTCATGTGTGGCTGCCTGGGGGGGTCACACGAGTCTGGCGGATACATCTGTGTGTGCACACGTGTGTGGAGGGGCACACACATGTACCCGGGCTGTGCACATGTGTGTGTGTGTGTGCTGACACATGTGTTCTCCCATGCATCACACGCACCCAGGACCAATCCTGCTGCTCCCTGGGATGCTGGAGACACCCAGGGCGCCCCAAGKACACCCAAAGCCCAGCGCTGGGCCGGGGATGTTGGGGTGTGGGAGGGGTCGGGTGTTGGGGAGGGGTTCTGGGCAGTGGGTGCTGGGCAGGGATTAACTCCCGGATTAAAACTGGGAAAATGAGGACGGTCCAAGGACAAAATTCCCTGTCTGATCAAGGGGGGCACCCAGCTGGGGGAGGGATGTTAGGGTGCAGRGAGCAGGGTGAGGGCACCCTGAGGACATCCTGTTCTGTGTTCCACGGGTTCCTTTTAATCCCTGCCCCCCTTCGCAATAAAAAGCTGCATCATCCCAGCATGGTTTGTTCCAGCTCTTTTCCCTCTAATTTTGGACCCAAAATCCGGCACGAATGTTTGGATCTAAAAATACTCTCGGGAAGTACAGCCTCGAGTGGGGGTGCGGGGCTCCCTGATGGCTGGGGCTGTGACACCCAGCAGTGCCTCTCGGGGGGTGCCCTAGGGCGGGGGTCCCCTCGGTCCCAGCGGTGGTGGGTGGGGCTGTGGGATAGCTCAGGAATTCAGGGTGGAATGGGGAGTGTGGGGCTGTGCCATGGGGTGTGGGGATGGGAGTGGGGTGGGACTGGGAGTTTAGGGGGAGCTGGGGATGACATGGGATGGGATGGGGACGGACAAAGGGCTAGGACGGGGATGACAGTTGGGGTGAGATGGGATGGGGGCATGGGGAAGGGGAGAGGAATGGGGGTAAGGATGGGCACAGGGATGGGGCAGAGATGATGGGGATAGGACAGGGACGGGGATGGGGATGAGAGCCAGGATGGGATTGGATCAGAGTGGATGAAATGGGAATGGGGATA